ATGTTGCCTTTCTTAGTGTGAAAGACATTAGAATATACTTTAGAATATACTTTAGAATATTCTTCTATCCTTAGAATATACTTTAGAATATTTTAGGAATATACTCTAGGATATTATTATTGTATAGAATCTTATAGGAATATTCTATCTTTGTAATCTATATTTATAGGGACTTAACCCTCCAATGAAATACACAGAAAATCTTCCCTCCTCTCTTCAATATTATATTTTGTAGTTTATATTTCAACATGGTATCAGAGCAGCCATTTTAGATAAGTTTGCCTTTTCAAATTTCAGTTTAGTCTTTCATATCTCAGTTTAGTTTTAATTTTCAGACTGGGTTCTTTCTCCAAGAACCTGAGTTCAGTCCAGAATTTTAGAACCTCTAGGCACCACTCTGTCTTACAGAACCTCCTTGTCATAAACCAACACTCCAGAATCTTCAGAACCTTTTTTTCAGAACCTTAGTCCATCTCTGTCAGGTCCAACCATCTTCCCTGGCCGGAAATTTGATCGGAAGAATTAGCTAAAAGGGAAGGAAGAATATATTAATTTTTCAGAATCAGTTCATTCTTTCCAGCAAACGAGCATGAAAACACATCTTCGGGCAATATAGAATCTTGCCCTCTGCTCCTTCACCAGTTCGTCCAGCCTCTGCCCAAAATTTCTGAAATAACAAAGGACGGATATCTGTGGGAGGAAGACCGGTGGTTGGTCGCTGGGAACATCATCTGTGGATATCCGCTCCTTCGTCTTGTTCGCATATTTACTGGGGCCTCGCATCGGATATTTTCGGTCGCGCATCCGCCTTTCACTGATTGGTCACGCATTGTACTAGCTTGGATTTAAGTTTGGAGTGCCCAAGCTGCGTATTTTATTATTCTCCCAAGTCCACACATGGGAAAGCTGCTGTAAGTTCACTTTTTTTTCTTCCTCCCGAATATACCATTTTTTATATTAATAAAAAAATCAAAAAAAAAAAATTCAAAAAAAAAAAACCAAAAAAAAAATGAAAGGAAATGTTTTATACAGGTCAATTTGATAGTGGAGTAATATGCAATTACTGCAAGAAGTCCGGGCACCTGCTTAAAGAATGTAGAAAATTGTTGTTCAAAAATCAAGGAAATCGGCTTCCTCATGTTGTTTCCGCTGCCAGTTCATCTGATGGATCAATTGCTATTTCTTCAGACGAGTATGCTAAATTTATTTGCTACCAAGAATCTCTAAAGCATTCATCTACCCCTATCTCGGTAGTCGCAAATTCAGGTATTTCAAACACATGTCTTGTTTCATCATCCTCAAAATGGGTCATTGACTCAGGTGCCACAGATCATATGACTGGTAATCCTAGTCTATTCTCATCATTTCACTCACATTTACCTGCTTCCAGTGTCACTTTAGCAGACGGGTCTACCTCACCCGTTCTTGGATCTGGTACTGTTGTACCAACTTCTACATTACCATTATCGTCTGTTTTGAGTCTTCCTAATTTTGCATTTAATTTGCTTTCCATCAGTAAAATCACACGTACTCTTAATTGTTCTGTAACATTTTTTCCGGGATATTGTGTGTTTCAGGATCTGTTAACGAAGCATACTATTGGTCAAGGACATGAGTCGGGTGGTCTTTATATTTTGGATACATCAATTACAAAAGGTATCTCTTGCCTTGGGGTTGGAAATCTATTAGAAGCTCATTACCGATTAGGACATCCATCTCTCTCACTAATGAAGCAATTATATCCTCAGTTTAATAAAGTGTCTTCTATACAATGTGAGTCGTGTGAGTTTGCTAAACATCATCGCACTAGTTTAAGTCCCCGACTTAATAAACGAGCAAATGCTCCGTTTGATCTTGTCCATACTGATGTTTGGGGGGCATGTCCAGTTGTGTCCAAACATGGTTTCAAATATTTTGTCACTTTTGTTGACGATTATTCTCGTATGACATGGGTGTATTTTATGAAGCGCCGATCCGAGTTATTTACTCATTTCTCTGCATTTTGTGCTGAAATTAAAACTCAATTTAATGTTCCTGTTTGTGTGTTAAGGGGAGACAATGCCCAAGAATATTTATCTGCTCCATTTAAATCTTTTATGCTTCAACATGGCATTATTCATCAAATTTCATGCGTAGACACACCTCCTCAAAATGGAGTTGCTGAAAGAAAGAATCGACATCTGTTAGAAACTGCAAGGGCTCTTCTATTCCAAATGAATGTGCCTAAACAGTTTTGGGCTGACGCTGTGTCTACTTCATGTTTTTTGATCAATCGTATGCCATCTTCTGTTTTGGATGGTAAAACTCCTTATCAATGTCTTTTTCCAAATAAAGAACTTTTTCCTATTCCACCTAAAATATTTGGTTGCACTTGTTTTGTTAGAGATGTTAACCCTCATCGGACGAAATTGGACCCCAAGTCATTGAAATGTATTTTCTTGGGTTATTCTCGAGTTCAAAAGGGGTATAGATGTTTTTGTCCAAGTACAGGTCGATATCTTATTTCTATTGATGTCTCATTTCATGAAAATACACCATTTTCATCATCCAAGACAGATATTCATGAGGACAATGATGAAATACTCATTTACACAGTTACTATACCTGAGACCACACCTTCAGTAACTATGTCGAATGTCACTGTTCCTGACCCTAGACCTCCTGTACACTTGGTTTACACCCGTCGACACAAAGCACAAGATCACTCCCCACCTGTGACACCTGTGATTACATATCCTGATACTGGTCCGACTTCGATCTCATGTCCTGAACCAGTACCTGCATCTTCAGATCTTGTCTCTACATCTGATCTTGACCTCCCGATAGCACTACGTAAAGGTACACGGTCTTGTACTCATCCTATTTCCTCATTTGTGTCATACAGTCAGTTATCTCCTGCCTCATGTTCTTTTGTTGCTTCCATTGATTCTATTTCTGTTCCCAAATCTGTTAAAGAAGCTTTGTCTCATCCTGAATGGCGTCATGCCATGGTAGAGGAAATGAATGCTTTGGATCTTAATGGTACTTAAGATTTGGTATACTTGCCTTCAGGGAAGAAGTCTATTGGATGTAAGTGGGTCTTTGCTGTTAAGGTTAATCCAGATGGATCTGTTGCTCGATTGAAAGCTCGATTGGTTGCAAAGGGTTATGCTCAAACCTATGGTGTTGATTATTCTGACACTTTTTCTCCTGTTGCTAAATTAACATCTGTCAGGTTACTTATCTCACTCGCTGCAACTCATGATTGGCACTTACACCAGTTGGACATTAAAAATGCATTCTTACATGGTGACCTTCAGGAGGAAGTTTATATGGAGCAACCTCCGGGATTTGTTGCTCAGGGGGAGTATGGGAAAGTTTGTCGACTTCGCAAATCTCTTTATGGTCTGAAACAGAGTCCTCGTGCATGGTTTGGGAAATTCAGTCAATCCATTGAACGGTTTGGAATGATAAAAGGTCAATCAGATCACTCTGTCTTTTACAGAAAAACGAAAGCAGGTATCACATTGCTTGTGGTGTATGTCGATGATATTGTGATTACAGGAAGTGATACCGCAGGTATTTTGGCCCTTAAGAATTTTCTTCATAGCCAATTCCAAACAAAAGACCTAGGCTCATTGAAATACTTTCTGGGTATTGAGGTAACACGGAGTAAGAAAGGCATATTTCTATCTCAGCGTAAATATGTACTTGATTTACTAACTGAAACAGGGAAATTGGGAGCAAAGCCAAACACAACTCCCATGGTTCCCAATGTGCAACTCACTTCAGAAGGCATACCATTCGAAGACCCATAAAGGTACAGAAGATTGGTTGGAAAGCTTAACTATCTCGCAGTCACTCGTCCAGACATTGCTTACTCTGTGAGCGTAGTGAGTCAATATATGTCATCTCCGACAGTTGATCATTGGAATGCAGTAGAGCATATATTATGTTACTTGAAGGGGACACCAGGACGAGGTATTGTTTACCAAAATCATGATCACATGAGAATAGAATGCTTTGCAGATGCTGATTGGGCTGGATCTAAAGATGATAGGAGATCCACATCTGGCTATTGCGTCTTTGTTGGTGGTAATCTCGTCTCTTGGAAAAGTAAGAAGCAAAATGTGGTTTCTCGTTCGAGTGCTGAATCAGAATATCGGGCTATGGCACAATCGGCATGTGAGATAATCTGGATAAACCATTTGCTGAGTGAAATCGGATTGAAGACACCAATGCCTGCTAAACTCTGGTGTGATAACCAAGCTGCTATACACATTGCCAACAACCCAGTGTTTCATGAGAGAACAAAACATATTGAGGTCGATTGTCACTTTGTTCGAGAAAAGATACAACAAGGATTGATCTCTACAGGATATGTGAAGACTGGAGAGCAACTTGGAGATTTGTTCACTAAAGCATTAAATGGAATTCGTGTTGGTTATTTATGTAACAAGTTGGGCATGATAAATATCTATGCTCCAACTTGAGGGGGAGTGTGAAAGACATTAGAATATACTTTAGAATATACTTTAGAATATTCTTCTATCCTTAGAATATACTTTAGAATATTTTAGGAATATACTCTAGGATATTATTATTGTATAGAATCTTATAGGAATATTCTATCTTTGTAATCTATATTTATAGGGACTTAACCCTCCAATGAAATACACAGAAAATCTTTCCTCCTCTCTTCAATATTATATTTTGTAGTTTATATTTCAACACTTAGCAATGTTCTTGTATCATTAAATAAGAGAAAATGATATGGTTTTTCAGTCCTCATGTGCGATTAACAAAATTCTGAAGTCCATATGCCATGAAAATATGAAATTAAACTGGTGTTAAGGAGTAGCAATGAAATAAAACTAGAGTAAAGGAGTGTCAACTTATTGAGCTACAACGTTTCCCTATGTATAATGCATAGTATATGCTGTTTACCCTTTTATTTTATGTTATGTTTTTAAAAATTATAAATACTTCATTTTGGCTTTTATGTGATTTTACTTTTCTAGGTTGGGCTTCAAGAGTATACTTTTCAGACAATGGATCTACGGCAATTGAAATTGCACTTAAAATGGCGCTACGCAAATTTTTGTTTGATCATGGATTCATTTTTGACAACCCAAATGGTAACGGTGTTGATAGATATATCAATCTAAAGGTTGGTGTGTGTGACTTCGTGTACTTGTATATGGATATAAAGTTTTTACTGTGCTTAATGCTTCATATTTTTAACTGTTATATTTTGTCTATAGCTTCTTTTCTATATAGAGGGTAATTGGGTCTATTTAATGAGAGCGTTTTTAATTGTAAAGATCCATGTAGTATTGTGTAGCAATTTGTTTGGTAAATGAAGCTTATGTGCCCTGAAGATACCCTACTTTACATTGTTTTCTACTGAATCTGATGATGATCTTAATGTTGTCCTTTTCTTTTAGTTAATATATGGTTCACAAAATATATTACAAACGATTTGCCATTAACTGGGCACATTCAATGTGACAATTAGCATTATTTCTGTTTACGAAATTGATTTTGTGAATTGAATTTTACCATCTTGAAAATTCTTGTGAAGCGCAAATAGTTCTATTCTTCCGCAATCACAATTTTTCTGCTTTGGTGCTTAACGACAGTGATAATATTGTTCTACGTAAAGGTTTTGGCTCTTAGAGGATCATATCATGGCGATACATTGGGAGCTATGGAAGCGCAGGCACCATCACCTTATACTGGATTCTACCAACAACCATGGTGTGAACATGTCACTGTTTTTTCTTTTTGAAACGTTCTTCTATTAGTTTCTTCAATCCTGAATGTCGTGTCTCTAATGAAGTGGTCTTATGCTTAAGGAAACTTGTAGCTTTTGGGTTTTAATCTGCTTTCACTTGTCACCTTGATCTTGATAATAAAATTCAACTATGTATTCATTTCTGTTTTTTCTTTCGAAAGGCTTACATGATTAAAGGTTTTTACTTTTTTAACTTTCAATATATTGTTTAATGCATTTGGTTTTCTATCCTCTTTGAAAGTTTTTCCAATGCCTTTATATTGAAATGTGTTTATATTAAAAGTTTTTTCACTGCCTTTATATCGAAATTTGTTTGTATTGAAAGTCTTTCCACTGCCTTTATATCCAAATTTGTTTATTGTGTGTTCATATAAATTTATATGTTCATTGTATGTTCATATAAATTTATTATAGACCTAGATGTCTGTAAGGTTTTCTCATTTTTAGATGCAGGCACTACTTGTCCAATGTAGAGCTAAATTAAGCTCAAATATGGGGATGGCTTGACTGTTACTCTTCTGTTTTGTTGTAAAAGGAAAATGTGTCAGTTTCTTCATGAGTTCGAATGTTACTATTATATGCAAACATGTAACTTTGTAGACCCCAATCTCTTTTGGGATTTAGGCATCAAAATTCATCTTTACCTGGCTAAGCCATGGTATCTGATTCACACTCTGTGAAATATATTGGAATAAATGTAGGAATGTGCGTTGGAATATTTTAGAAATATACTCTAGAATATTATTTTGGTATAAAATCTTTTAAGAGTATTTTATCTTTGTAGTGTACATTTATAGGGAGTTAAACCCTTCTATAAACACCCTGAAAATTATTCCTTCTTCAATATTATTATATCTTATGCTCCCTCCATCCCGCTAAAATTGTCCCATTTTACCTTTTCGGTCCGTCCCACTAAGATTGTCCCATACCAAATTTGGTAAAGTTTGTGTGTCTCTAAATCATTCTTACTTTATTCTTACTTTATTAATTCAATATCAACCACATACACCCCTTTTTATTGGTTTGGGTGTCACTCCCTCTTGTCCAATTGTTAGTGGGACGGAGGGAGTATTTTGTAACACTCTACACAACTAAAACAAGCCATGGGTGGCTGTGCTGTTTTGTACTCCTATCAATCGGTGGGCCTCTGAGCATTTATTGATATTTTGAGATCTAAATGTTGTCATAGGTATAAGGGAAGAGGTCATTTTTTAGATCCACCGAAAGTTTCTTTGTGTCAGGGCGCTTGGAAACTTTGCATCCCAAAAACAATTCAACCTGAAATAGCAAATGAAAAAGATTTGAGTAAGTATAGCATGTGCATACAAAATCTTTGAATTTAGTACTGATATTATGTTCTTTTATTTTTAGCTAATTGGGCCAATTTGCAGTTTTCAACTCTCGTGATGAAATTTTTCATAAAGAGCGGGATGTGTCAGGTATTGCTGATATGTATTCATCATACCTATCAAAAGAGTTATTGGAGAATCTGAATCCTAGAGGGTTTATCTCTATTGGAGCATTGATTATCGAACCAGGCAAGATATTTTCTCTAGTTTTAGGTCTTATTTTCATGGGCGACTTCATATACAATTTTCTTAAAAGAGTTCTTATGCCTTTTTTGTATTTTTTTTGCTGATGGGTACTTTTTCATACTTTAGGAAAACTTGTTCGCTTTAAAACATATAACAGTCAACAATGTATGTTCTATCTATATCACATCTATAGTTTTTCAAATTTCTAACATAGTCACCGGTAATAATGGTATCAGGATCAGCATCTCATCAGTGGACAATGAATGACAAGATTGTTACAGATATATTCAATTCTAAGACCTTTAGGATATCTTGCTAGAAATCCGCAAGTTTCGTTGTGTTTTCTTTGGCTGCACAGTACTCCCATAGTAAAAAACAATTCCATCTCTTCTTATTTATCACAAATCATGCTCTTTCATTGCTCTATCTGCGATTTATTTGTGCAGTATTTAATAAGTGGTCATGTACTTCCCAAAGTCCAAAACCACTCCATCTCTTCTTACTAAATCACAAATTAAACTCTTCTCCTTCTCTTTGCATGTTGCGCTCGTTCACGTATGTTTTCTCTCTCCATTATTCTCTTAATCATTTCCTATTTTCCCACTGTCCTCAATTTCTTAGTGTTTTCCCTGTTGTTTTTTCTGCTTGACTCCTGCTCTCATGCCCAAATCACAGATAGAGTAGTTTGTGCTGATGCTGTCCTTTCTGTGTGCATGACTGTGTGTTATGGACCTAGTTTTGTATTCTCAACTGACTAAAGTTAACATTAAATTTCCAACTTATAACTAGATGCCTTCATATTTTAAGTAGAAATAAAGCTAAATCTGTGATAGTATTAAAACCAGACGCCTTAATATAATCTTTCCAATCTTAACCAGCAAGCCTTAGTTTGTAATCATTCGGATAGTATAAAACTAGATGCCTTGATGGAATCTTTCTCATTGTAACCAGTAAGCCTTCATTGTAATCGATCTCATCAAATTGTAAAGTTTATTTTTTCTATTTTAGTATCCGCAGAGTTTGAGGCTTGTACTACAAGTGTCCGTACTAGTGTAGGGAGGACCGCAGAGTTCCCTAATACTATCGGAGTGCACCAAGGATCGGCTCTGAGTTATTTCTAATTTGCTATAGTCATGGATGAACTTAAGAAATCAATTCAAGTAGATATACCGTGGTATATGATGTTTGCCACGATTTTGTATCCATTTCATCATCCTTATCAGAATGATGTTGAATTAGATGGAGATGTATCACGTAGAATCAGAGATGGGTGGATGAAATGGAAGAGTGCATTAGGATTTCTATGCGATCGAGGTATGCCAATTAAGCTGAAGGGTAAATTTTATCAAACAACAATTAAGCCTGCATTAATGTATGGCGTAGAGAGTTGGGCGGTGTAACAATATCACATTCAAAAGATGAGTGTGACAGAGATGCACATGTTGCGTTGGATGTATGGACATACCAGAAAAGACTGCTTGAGAAATGATGTGATCACACAAATGGTGAGAGTAGCATCCATAGAAGATAAGATGCAAGAGTATCGATAGAGGTTGTTTTGTCATGTGCGCAACAGACCGAGTAATGCACCTGTTAGACGACTTGAGAGGTAGGGAGAAGAGACGGGGAGAAGAGGGAGAGGAAGACCCAAACAGACTTGGATTAGATGAATCAGAACTGATATGTGTCTTCTTGGGTTGGATGAGAGTGTGGTTTTGGAGAGAGCAAAGTATAGGACGCATATTCATGTGGACGATTCATCTCTTTTCTACTACCTCCGTCCCCCTAAGTTTGGGACAAAGGGGTGTGGTGTGGTTTTTAAGAAAAAGTAGAATTGTGTGGTTGATATTGAATTGATAAAGTGTGAATAAAGTAAGAATGAATTCTAACCACTCAAATATTACCAAATATGGTATGGGACAAACTTAGTGGGACGGACGAAAAAGGTAAAACAGGACAAACATAGGGGGACGGAGGGAGTATCTTTTTTCTCTCTATTTCTTTTATCGTTTATCTTTTTTATCTTTTTATATTCTTATGTTATTTTTATCTTCTATCTTTCTTATGCTCGTTTACCTTTTTTTCTTTTATCTTTCTTATGTTTTTATGTTATTGTCTGGGTTATCTACTCGGTGAGTACTCGGCGAGTACTCGGTGAGTACTCGGCGAGTACTCGGTGAGTACTCGCAACTCGGGTCCTTACCTTGCTGATTAGCAACTTAACTCGGTCCGAGTTAATTTTCCGAGTTACTCGCCGAGTACTCGGCGAGTTTTGCTACTCGGTCAACATCGGAAATCGGCGAGTACTCGGCATTACTCGTTTTTTTTTTTAAATTGAAGCACTACGGTTAGAAATCCTAAATTAAAACAAAAAAATAACGCAGTTCCAAGTCTCCGACTGCAACATCGGCTCTCTTGGAGTCGCGCGACATCCGCTATCCCTTGAAGTTGAGACTGCGACATCGGCTAGTAACTCTTCTTTCTCTCGTAACTTCACCTCTTCACTTATGGTTTCTTCTTCTTCTCCCCCCTCTCTTAGTCATGTATGTTCGTGCCTTCTTGGATAGTTTTGGTTCTTGTTTTCGTTAAGCTTTCATATTGGATAAGTAGTCTAGTAGACATCCTGCTTTATAGTATCCAATGCATGACTTCTTGGACTAAACTGATAAATACTTTTGAATAATATAAGTAGTCTAGTAGACATCCTGCTTTATGTTGGACTAACGCCCTCATACTCCCTATAAATTCAATTTCAACAATAGACATTAAATTTTGATCACTTATAAAATTTAAATTTTGAAAACTTGGAATATTTAAGACTTTTGCTACTCCATCATTAGGATAATAGGATTTGTATCTTTTTATTCATTTCTATGCTTTTAAAACAATTTTAAGACTATTTTAAGACTATTATATTTCTAAATATCTGGCAACTATATTATTAAATTTAATTAATACAGGACCGAGTAATCACCGAGTAATCCCGAGTAATCGGTCCTACTCACTACTCGGCCCTTGACCGAGTTACCGAGTAGCGAGTAAACTACTTAGGTTATTGTTATTTTATATTTATCTATATCTTATCCATTCTATCTTACTTTATTTTTTTATTGTTCTTATCTTTCTTCTCTTTTGGGCCCTGATATCATGGACCGATTTATGTTAGCCGAGCCCAAAATATTTTGGGAATAAGGCTTGGTTGTTGTTGTTGTAGTATGATGACCCCAAAATCTTTTGAGACTAGGGCTTGAATGTTGTTGTTGCATTTTTGCTAATTTAGTAAGCCTCAAGCTTTAAAAATTTAAATTGATCAGGTAGTTACTTACTAAGTTACACACATAATACTTTAAGGCTTCTTTTAGTTTGGGTGGAAATATAATATAATGGGGTTGGTAATTGATGAGAATTGTGTTCTTATGGGTGCATTAGTTTGAATATGTACTTAAAAATTTGTCATTTAAGAAAGTCAGAACCTTAATATAGGACATTCAAAAAAGACTAGTGAGAACCTCTGAATGAGATGGAGAGAGTACGAAGTATCAAGAAAGGCATTCCCTTGATTAGATGACATGCAGTGAGAGTGATATCCATCCGGTGCAGGGGGGTGATGTAAGTGAATCTAATGAAAACTGAAAAGTGTGAGCCATATCAATTAAGTGATGGTTCTTACATTCTATTGATTGGATGACATGCAATGAGAGTGATATTTGTCTTGTATGTGGGTGATGGATGTGAATGTATTAAAAAGTGTGAACAATATCAATTAAATTTTGGTTCTTACATTCTGCAACCCCTTTTGTTGATGTGTGTGTATGCAAGAAGATTGGTGATGCATACCACATGATGATATGTATTGGTTAAAGGGAGGTATATTTCTTTTAGCAGTATCATTGGGTAAAGTTCTAATAGAATAATCAAACTCTGAATTTCAGCACATAAACCATAAAGATATAAGACAATTCAGAATGTTCTTTCATTAAAATCAACCATGTGTATCTGAATCCTAAAATTAGACTTGACTTGATATAGACCCCACACATCGATATAAATTAAATCAAAAGGGACTGCGGCCCTTTTATTGACTTTCCTTGGGAGTGGCTGATGAGGTTGCTTTCCTAGGTCACATGACTCACAATCTAAATGTGGAAGACGTCATAAACCCAGGGCCATATGCCATAAGTTTGAGACTAGGATTAACTAATCAGTTATGTTGGGTGATATCAGATTCAGTTGGCACACAAATAATGGATGGATGCGGTGGAGCTGATACAAGGCTTGAGTTTCATGCTCAACGCTAATCATATTCCTTGTACAACGGTCCTATACAATTACATGATCAGTAAAAAATATAATGGAGCAATTAAGAGTCTGAATATCTTCGCCAACTGAAATAAGGTTAAAAGGGCTATTTTTATGAATATATAAAACCAACTCTATTGGTAGGATGATAATGGGAGGACATGTCTAATGCAAGTATTTGTGCTTTGAAGACTATTGGTTAGGGTGATTAAAAGTAAGTTTTTTACTTTGGAGTTAACGGATTACCAAAAATATGGCGCAAGCCAGCAGCCATGTTTTTTTTTATGAATCAGCGAAATCAGAAACTGATCCATCCTGAAACCAGATATTGATTAAAATAGGGAACCTAGGCAGGGTCTGATGGCAGCACGTGGGAGTGTGTGGAACAGCGAATCAGCATCAGGGTAGATGGTCTGACTCCTCAGAAACTCTGGATTGATGAAAAGTTGGCAGACCCTACGCTAGTTGAGCAGAAAGAGAGAGATTTGGAAGCAGCAGAACACTTTGGCGGCAGGCGGCGTGTGACTAGTGAAACAGTGATAAGATTTCAGGCAGTTGGTGCGAGGGTGAACAAGTACGGCTGTAGGTTTAGATTAGATAGATTACTAGTGGAGGTGCTCCAACGCCAATCACAACATCTATTCACGCTGAATATCTCTCCTGAATTTTTGACCGGAAGAAAGATGATGAAGAGACCTAGGGTTTCATATATGTGACTCTCATACCATGTGAATGTATAAGCATTATATTGATAGTTCAGTTTATGTATATGGCTGTACAAGGGGTCAATGTATAGCTAAAGTTAGTATTTTCAATACAGGGTGTGCTAAGCCCAATACAACTAATGTTAGGGTTTCAACATAACTAAAAAATGCAATTCATCTTTTTTGAATATTAGCAATACACTTCCACTACAAAGAGCTAAATTAAATTCAAATATGTCTCTTCTACACTCCCCAATAATATCCAAGCTCTTAGTTGATTTAATTATGGATTCTTCGTGCACCCAATCTGAAAGAAAATGAATCATATATAGTTTAAAACAGGCTAACCCTAGTTTATGTTGGTTGTATTAGGGCTGTGTCATTTCCAATCCAATAGACAGCCACACCTGCCTTTAATTTAAACCCTAAACTCTTGCAACATAGTCTAGTAGAAGTATAAACTACTTTGCTGTTCTGTGGTTGCAAGATTGGTACTTAGAAAATCAAAAGGGCTAAACAATGTAAATTTTGCTGTATTGACTTGTCTAGTTTGCTTATAATTGATTTGTTTCATAGTAATTCAAGGCGCTGGTGGAATGGAAATGATTGATCCTTTGTTTCAACGAATACTCACAAAAGAATGCCACAGGCGAAAGATTCCTGTCATATATGATGAGGTTCTTACTGGGTTTTGGCGCCTTGGGACAGAGGTTGATCATTGTATTATGAATAAAGCCATTTTCTAGGATATTGCGATCTTTTTAAATCTATATTTCACCCTGCAGTCTGCAGCAGAGTTGCTTTCCTGTCAACCAGATATTGCATGCTTTGCAAAATTATTGACCGGTGGAGTTGTACCTTTAGCCGTCACACTTGCCTCAGAAGCAGTTTTTGAAGCATTTCTTGGGGACTCGAAGGTAAGCCATACACACTATGGTTAATTTTCTTGACTTGAAAATTAAATTTGAATGAATTTTTGCTTTGTTCAAAAGCAATATACATACTTTGTATTTAGTTGCCAGCATGTGGTGAATAGTCACCTCCTTTAGTTAGGGGGGAATGAGGGATATATCAATTGCACTAAGAGTCTAAGAGTAGGGTGTACTTGCATGCTCACAGAGATACATAGGTTTTTATAGGAATAGCCGTAGATGTGTTTTTTATTGCGCTTGTATGCTCGAAGTTGGAATTATTGCAAATATTAGTTTTTTCATTTCGAACCAGACTGAAAAGAAGACAAACTGATCATACACTAGTGCAATTAAAGTACCGAGTGAACTAGGAGAGTCCAGAGGTGAACTCAAATGCACATATATTTCATTTCATTCTGTTCAATAGCAGTACTAGACACGTAGTATGAACTAGCAGTACAAAGTTACAAACTAATGAATTCTGCAACATTTCATTTTGCTTAATAGTAGTATTAGCCACTGGGTAAACTGGAAGAATTCTAGCACAAACATCTACCATGGTGTGAACTGTGGAGCTGTATAAAATATGACTTATATGCTTGTCATGCTGTAATGAAGAGTGGAAAGAGTAAAGTCGATGAGGAGCTTGGCTCGTCGAACTAACTGGTCATTCACTGTGTTTGCAACTGGTAATAGAGCATTGCAAAAATTTCACAAAGACATAGTCTACCCGTCATTAAGAACATGCTCACAGAATTTCATCAAAGAATTCGACCCGGAAGCACCTCAAATAAAAGAGGCCTAAAATTATTAGTTTTAGATCTGCATTAAGAGAACACTCTCCTATATGTGTGTGTGTGTGTGTACACATTTATACACACACACACATATATATTCATTTATAGAGAATTGATCCTTTCAGGCGGTCCGCACGGGGAGTGTTGTGTGGACTTGCACAGAGGCATCCTTCCCTAACGACGAACTATTCCTTTCTTCCCTGGTTTGGCATCTATGATTCACTACTATACAAAGATGGGGAGGTTCGTTTATTTGCCCGGCAGCTTTTGAGGATGAAATAAAACAAAAATATATTAAAAAATTATTTCTTGCAATCACTGGAGAAGATGGACCCAGTGGCTGACCAGATCTCGGCATCATCCAACAAAAACTTCCCCGGGAACCATTGAAGGCCTCGTCTACGACGGCTGTGAAGGTCGAACCAAACCCCTCTACTCCGGCAGCAAGGATGTGAAGCCTTCTTTGATCTCCGGTAGCAATGATGTAACTGAATCTGGAGTTGGTTGGAAAGTAAAGTAGCAATAGAAGAAAGGGAACGGGACCCTGCGAGGAAGAAGATGGCGGGAAACAAAGAGAAAAAGATGGAGGTGGGGCCAAAACAAAGAACAAGGGGGAGGTGGGTCCAGAAAAAAATGGGAAAGAGAAGGAAAAAGAAAGAGGAACAAAAATGACATATGGAATGCCACATCAGCATAGTTACCGGATAATCAAGGAGTTACCTGCTACATTACAAATTTGAACATTTTTGTATCCTTTGAAGACTTAATTGGATGTTTTTTTTTTACTTCGAGGGCTCAATTGACTTTTATGGTATACTTCTGGGGCTAATTTGACAGTTTTCCCATTTTTTAAACATGTTTTTAATCAAGTCTAGTTTATCTACACCAAATTTCAGCTTAAAATTCAATCGGGAAGGCAGTTAAATACATAAAGCGCAATATGTTTCAATAATTTATTTGACTGCCTTCCTGATTGAATTTGAAGCTGAAATTTGGTGTGGGTAACTAGACTTGATGAAGAACATATTCAAAAAAATTCATCAAAACATTACATCGGGAAGGCGAGGTAAGAACCATAGAAGACAAGTTAAGCAACAAGTGGAGCCAAAGATAAAGTGGTGGAGGCTTGAGGGGGATCTTCAACAAAGCTTTACACACAAAATGTTCGGTGAAGATGTATGGCGTATTGATAATGGAACACATGTGGAGGATGCGTGGTTATCGATGGAGCTGACCATTAACAAAGTGGCAAAGGACGTACTTGGAGAATCTAAAGGATGTCTGCCACCCAAAAAGGACACGTCGTGGTGGAATGATGAGGTGAAACAAGCCATAAGGAACAAAAGAGATTGCTACAAAAAGCTGGGGACAAGTCGGAGTGATGAGAACATAGAAGCATACAAGGAGGCTAGAAGACAAGCAAAGAAAGCCGTAAAGGAAGCACAAGGGAAAGTGAACAAGGAGTTGTATGAAAAATTGGACTCTAAGGAAGGAGAACAAGATATTTATAGACTTGCTCGTCTTCGTGATCGTAGGACTCAAGATATCGGAAAAGTTAAGTGTGTGAAAGATGTCGATCAAAGGATATTAATGGAGGACAGAGAGATAAAAGAGAGGTGGAGGTCATACTTTGATACATTGTTCAACGGGAACAAAGTGCAAGATATCGGTGATTTGACCATACCAGATTGTATGGTAAATCGTGATTTTGTGAGAAGGATCCAACCAACAGAAGTTAAAGAGGCTCTGAGGAAGATGGGGCGGAAGAAAGCAGTGGGTCCAGATGGCATACCGATCGAGGCTTGGAGAAGTTTGGGAGAGAGAGGCATCGAGTGGTTAACAAATTTCTTCAACAAGATTTGGAGAAACAACAAGATGCCAATGAGTTGGAGAAAGAGTACTCTTATTCCCTTATTTAAGAATAAAGGTGATGTACAAGAATGTGCCAACTATCGAGGGATTAAGCTTATGAGTCATACCATGAAACTTTGGGAGCGAGTGATTGAGCAAAGACTTCGAAGAACGGTTAAGATTTCAGAGAATCAATTCTGTTTTATGCCTGGTCGCTCAACAACTGAGGTTATTCACCTTCTTCGGCAACTTATGGAGAAGTATAGAGACGCTCACAAAGATTTGCATTTAGTGTTCATTGACTTAGAAAAGGCATAGGATAGGGTACCTCGAGAAGTTCTTTGGTAACTAGAAAAGGCATTTCACGCAAGTATATCAGCATCATCATGGATATGTATGAGGACTGTACTACAAGTGTCCGTACTAGTGTAGGGAGGACTGTGGAGTTCCTTATTACTATTAGAGTGCACCAAGGATCGACTCTGAGCCCTTTTTTATTTGCCATAGTGATGGATGAACTTACAAAGTCAATTCAAGATGATATACCGTGGTGCATGATGTTTGCCGACGATATTGTATTGATTGATGAGACGCAATCAGGGGTTAAAGCAAAGTTGGAAGTATGACGACAAACATTGGAGAATAAGGGTTTCAGACTAAGTAGGAGCAAGACAGAGTACATGGAGTGCAAGTTTGGTGGAGGTAGAAGCAGTGGTAATAGCGGAATTACTTTAGATGGTAAGGAGATACTGGTCAGCGATATGTTCCGTTACTTGGGCTCCATAATTCAGAAAGACGGTGAGTTAGATGGAGATGTATCCCATATAATCAGAACAGGGTGGATGAAGTGGAAGAGTGCGTCAGGATTTCTGTGTGATAGAGGTATGCCGATTAGATTGAAGGGTAAATTTTATAGGATAGCAATTAGGCCTGCATTACTGTATGACACAGAGTGTTGGGCGGTGAAACAATGTCACATTCAAAAGATGAGTGTGGCAGAGATGCGCATGCTGCGTTGGATGTGTGGGCATACTAGAAAAGACCGCGTGAGAAATGAGACAATCAGACAAAGGGTGGGAGTAGCACCTATTGAAGATAAGATACGGGAGTCGCGCCTACAGTGGTTTGGTCATGTGCATAGAAGACCGAGTGATGCACCTGTCAGACGAGTTGAGATGTGTGGAGAAGAGGCAGAGAAGAGAGGGAGAGGAAGGCCCAAACAAACGTGGGTTAGGGGAGTCAGAAGTGATATGCTTCTTCTTGGATTGGATGAGGGTATGGCTTTGGAGAGAGCAAAATGGAGGGCGGGTATTTGTGTGGAGGAGTGATCTTGTATCACCTTTCCCCTCTTTTTTTCTTCTTCTTTTTTTCTTTTTCTTTTATATTTTTATCCTTATATATAAATATTACTTTATCCTTTTTATTTTATCTTTTATATGCATATTCATCTCTTTTGTATAATCTTTTTTTATAATAGCTTATATTTTTTATCTTTATTTTCTTTCTTTTCCTTTTGGTGATATCATGTATCGATTCATGTTAGCCGATCCCAATATCGTTTGGGACTAAGGCTTGGATGTTGTTGTTGTTGTATTACACAGGGAAGGCCCTCAAACGAGCAAGTCCGCAACTCGTGCTAGGGTTTCCAACAGAGCTATACTATGGCACAATGCAATGTTTTACAGAATAATTAGATACATACATATATACCTATATAGTTCTTTGTATCTTTTCATCCAAAATAAGAACTATTCTACAGCATTAGTTTGAGGTCTAAGAGCTTATCCAATGGGAGGGTCTATGTCTGTAAGATCCATCTTATGTGGAATAAGAGAGACTGAGAGAGAGAGAAATAGAGAAGAGATGATTATTTTCAATTAATATGGTGGTAGAGGTGTGCATGGAAAATAAAAAGATGAAATAGATGGAGGTAAATTTGAGAACTAGGTGTATGACGAGATCCATTTGTGGACTTCACACGGGATTCCATGTAAGAAAAGATCAAATAGTGAGTTAAAAGTGGTTAAAACGATGATATAAATTGGAAATATGTAGGTTCTACACGAAATTTGTGATAGAAAAAACAGGTCCTATCATTCCTATGTGTATGAGGTGTGTAAGATAACACTTCCTCCCGTTGTTGATGCTCTAAGGTCGTATATGTAACGATGCAACTACTTTATTTAAAAAATGCAGTGACAGTATGGTAATTATATCTAACTTTTCTGGCACCAAAAAAAGTGCATCACTTTACACGCGAAAGTGAACCAGGGTAAGTAAAATAGCAGCAGTGCACAATATACACCCGAAGTACTGTTTGCACCAGAACCGACTTATGCATGTGAATGTGTAAGTATTGATTGGTATGGTCAGCAGATATTAATACTAATTGTTTATCTGTATGACTCAACTTTGTTGGTTTTCCACTGTGTTAATTTGTCATTTTCAGCTCAAAGGTCTTTTACACGGCCACTCCTACACTGCACATGCTTTGGGCTGTACAGCAGCTGTCAAGTCTATTAGATGGTTTAAAGACTGTAAAACAAATCCTAATTTGGCATGTGGCGGGAGACTGCTCAAGGAGGTATGTGCATGTGTCCAATACTTGAAGTGCATGGTCTACTAAACATGATGCAAAAGTTTGTGTGGGAAGAATTTCCAGAAACACTTAATATTTAAGTGGTTTGGTTTATGTAGTTCTTTTGCCATATGAAGAATATTAATTACCTATTATTCTATCGGTGAAAGGGATATGGAATACAATGTGGTCTTGAAAGATCTTTTTGTTCACTTCCACACCAGGATTGTAAAAGAGAGATTTAATCTCTCTGTTTCAGAATGTTAATGATTACAATTCCTATCAGATTACAAAATGTAGGCATTATAACTATGATACAAATGCATTACTTGCAAGACCTACCAACCAAGGCACAAGGGGATTTTGGTTGAAATCGTATTAGTAGTCTTTGTCTCCCATCAGTCAGCATGAGGAGAAGCTTTTATTAATTAGTTCAATATTAGTTGCACTTTGTTTAATGAGTAAATGCTAGGGTTTCAAATTATTTTTCAATTAGTCTTGTCTTCAAATAAGGGATTACCCCCATCATTCATAAATCGTACTGCCTTGTATGAGTCTCTCTGTAGTGCACTTAATCTGAAGTAGTTTGAATGCTTCAAACTGTCAGTCTTCCTCGTACTGTCTTGTATGAGTCTCTCTGTAGTGCATGACTTCCACCGCCTCTCATTTTCAAACCCTCTTTTTCTTACTTAGCGCACTCTTATCATATTAGCACCAGTTTTGAGAAAGTAGATTGAATATTTAATCTATAGATTTCGTATGTACTAATGTACATTCTTGAATGGCTACAAAAAAGCACTGGTATAGAATAAAACGTCAATATCTATCATAATAAAAAAAAAAACCAATTCTCCATAATGTACTGTATGTATTAATTAATTTGGCCTTTTTGTCTTTGTTTTACTATAATGATGCTGTTGACCATCGTCTTATTTATAGGTCATGAATTATTTTTTCCTTATTTTTTGTGATTGAACATTTGCAGATGTGGGATGAAAACATAGTTAGACAGATCTCTTTGCTCCCAGCAATTAGTAGGGTGGTTGCCTTAGGAACCCTATGTGCCATTGAGCTTCAAGTAGAAGGTTCCAGTGCTGGGTATGTGAATTTTCATTTTTGCATCTTCAAATTGTATACTTCGAAATTGTGGAAACCCTAGCTGTATTGGTCTTAGTCCATTTGTATAGGAAATCCTAATGCTCTAATATAGCTATAAATATAGCCACCTGTATAATATTATGATATAAAGAGTAATAAATACCATCACACTTTTCACATGGCATCAAAGCCAATATGGCAAATCTTAGGCACTGTTATAATCTTTCTTCCGGCGTAGATTCTCCACAAGAAATTCTGGCCTGAATAGTAGTCATGATGTGCATTAGAGTGCTTTCAGTAGTAGTATAAACCTACTGTCATGCTCAGGTCACCATCACGACCCACCACCGGTCACCGTACGGCGTGCGCAACTAAAGACCGCTGCTGCAATTCTCCTTTTTTTTCAGATCTCTCTCTTTTTAATGGCATTGACGCTGCCAACACTATGAGGGTACTGGGTTTATGGTGACCACAACCACATACACAGGACTTTCATTTTATAACCGATGCACCACCTCGGCCATACACACGTGCTGCCGCTATCCGCACGCCGCTCTATTGTGCCATTGTTGTAGCTTCCAAGGACAAAGGTCTATGTTTAACCCCTTGTGTCGATCTATTCGTCCTGCTTCTGTTGTCCAACTCATTTTGTTTGTTGCTGCTTGAAGATTTAGTGTTTCATTCGATTCAAACTACCTTCTGCTACATTTCAATCCAGCAGTCTGTAATTCTTTTTTCTAATTTCATACTTTCCATTAATTAAAAAACAGAAACAGAAAAGAAAAAGTAAACAAAAAATCAAAAAATGCCTATAGGTTTTTCTTAGTTTGCTTCGGTTCCAATTATCACTACAGGTCGTTTGACTGGAAGTGCTCATTATTAATCACGGGTTATTTCTGTGGAGATATGGTTCCAAGGTAATGCCTATAGGTTTTTCTTAGTTTGCTTCGGTTCCATATGCTAATGCGGTCAAAATAAGAGGACCGAATGGGAGAACATCGATGCATTGTTTTTCAACGTTTTGTGGCAATCAATGGGCTTGAAACTTCATTCCTACATATCAATCATATCGCGCATGTAAATAGATTTGGGAAAATGGGAAAAGCCTATTTGAGATTCATGCAAAGATGTCACACTCAAGCAACAAGACTTGAAGGTTCAGGATTTTCTAGGACGGGCTAAGTCTTTACTATTTGAGTATAGTACCATTCAACCTATCACAGAAGATAGGGACAAACAACTCAGCAAAGACAACAATTTGTTAAGCTTTTAACATTGGTAGGTCTTAACCCAGAGTTGTTATCGATACATGAGCAAATTCTCTCCTCTATTGTTCTTATTATGGCAGAGGTTTTGGTCTGAATTCTTTGAGTTTCCCCGATATCTACTGAACCATGTTCTAGTAACTTTATACTTCTTGCATCCCAATGTCTAGGGAATGACGGAGGAAATCACAAGGGATACCCATGACGGAATCATCCTAAGTGTGATTTCTGTCATAAGATTGAGCATACTAAAGACAAGTGTTGAAAGTTGCATGAGAGAGCTCCTAGCTCAACCAATATTGCTCAGATCCCGCCATCTCCCGTTGTGCTACCTCTTGGCGAATATGAAGCATATTAGAAGTTTAAGTCAGCCCATTTGACTTTCTCTTCACGTGTTACACATACGTGTGTTTCGAACTATATATTTTTATTGGAAATTATTTATAATATAAACATGATATGAAAATGTTTCTTGTTAAAAGTATTAATAAAAATCATGGTCCAAACTTTACGAGACGACAAAGTTTTTTGAGAAAGGGTAGTATCTTTTTTAGGGATATTCATTGTTACTCAGGAAGGGTTGTCGTTGTTATTCAGTGTTACTTAAGAAACATTTTGCATTAAACATGCATTATTGCATGGTGACCTTCAGGAAGAAGTTTATATTGAGCAACCTCCGAGATTTGTTTCTCAGGGGGAGTATGAGAATGTTTGTCAGCTCCGCAAGTCTCTATGGTCTAAAACAAAGTCCCCGTGCATGGTTTGGGAAATTCAATCAATCAATTGAACGGTTTGGAATGATAAAAGTTCAATCATATCACTCTGTCTTTTATAGATGAACAAAAGGAGGTATCACATTGTCGTGGTGTATGCCGATGATATTGTGATTACAATGAGTGATAATGCGGGTATTTTGGCCCTTCAGAATTTTCTTAAGAGTCAATTCCAGACGAAAGATCTTGAGTCATTGAAATACTCTCCTGATTATCTTGTAGTTACCCGCTAAGATATTGCATACTTAGTGAGTGTAGCGAGTCAATATATGTCATCTCCGATAGTAGATCATTGGAATATTGTAGAACATATATTAAGTTATTTGAGGGGGACTTCGGGACGAGGTATTGCTTATCAAAATCATGATCATACAAGAATAGAATGCTTTGCAGATGCTGGCAGGGCTGAATCTAAAGATGATAGAAGATCTACGTCTGGCTATTGCGTCTTCGTTGGTGGTACCTAGTCTCTTGAAAAGTAAGAAGCGGAATGTGATTTCTTGTTGGAGTGAGATAATCTAGATAAACCATTTATTAAGTGAAATCGGATTGAAGACACCAATGCCTGCTAAGTTGTGGGGCGATAACCAAGTTGTTATACACATAGCAAACAATCCAGTATTTCATGAGAGAACCAAAGCATATAGAGGTTGATTGTCATTTTATTCGAGAGAAGATGCAAAAAGGATTGATCTCTACTGGATATGTGAAGACTGGAGAACAACTTGGAGATTTATTCACTAAAGCTCTAAATGAGATTCGAGTTGATTACTTATGTAATAAGTTGGACATGATAAATATCTATGCTCCAACTTGAGGGACAGTGTGAAGGATATAATAATAATAATAATAATAATAATAATAATAATAATAATAATAATAATAATAATAATAATAATAATAATAATAATAATAATAATAATAATAATAATAATAATAATAATAATAATAATAATAATAATAATAATAATAATAATAATAATAATAATAATAATAATAATAATAATAATAATAATAATAATAATAATAATAATAATAATAATAATAATAATAATAATAATAATAATAATAATAATAATAATAATAATAATAATAATAATAATAATAATAATATGCTTTAGGAATATACTCTAGACATTATTAGTGTATAGCATCTTATATAAGAATATTCCGTCTTTGTAATCTATATATAGGGCCTTTGACCCATAAATGAAACATACAGAAAATCATTTCCTCTCCAATATGCAAAAACTCATCATTTAACATTTAACTGATATTGAAGGTACAACAATGTTTAATTGTTTCCGGTTTTCAGCTTTCACCTTTGATTTCCATTTTAGCTTTTATGTCACACTACCTACGCCCCAGTAACATAGGGACAAAAAGAAGTGGTGTGATTATTAAGAATAGTGAAATTCTGTGATTGATATTAAATTGGTAAAGTGTGAACAAAGTAAAAATGAATTGTAACAACTCAAATATGGTATGAGATAAAGTTAGTGAGACAAACAAAAATGTATAATGGAGCAATTTTAGCAATTACTACGTATTAAGGAGTTAAGCATTGGTGCCTCGAGAAATAAAATATTGAGGATGTCCGAAAAAGTGACTTGGAAAAGCCCAGGAGTGAGGGAGTAGGAAAAAAGCATCGAAAGTTAGTGAGTTGTTTGTTTAGAGTGGGATGGATAGCTAAAAAAAAGTGGTGTGTTAATGAGTTGTATGCATGATTATGAATGAATTGGCAGGTATGGTTCACGCTGTGCTTCAAGCCTTGTTGAGAAGCTCCGAGATGACGGCGTTTACATGAGGCCCCTGGGCAATGTCATTTACGTCATGTGCGGCCCCTGCACCGACTCCGACCTCTGCTACCACGTTTTGGAAAAGGTTTTCACAAGACTGCAGGCAGGAGGACTTTACCCACCCTAATTATTAATTAATAATTAATAATTAGGTAAATGTAAACCATGAATAATATTTCTCTTACGTACTTCAATTGTCCCTTATTTCTTTTGGTGAAACTACCTCCTGAGAAACAAATTTAACAAAAATAAATTAAATGCGTGAATATACTAAAACAAAATAAAGCATTGAGCATTGAGAAGAAATAAATAAATAAATACGGAGTATATTAATTAGGATGCAAATCAAATACTATAGAATGCATTAGTACATACAAAGGAATGAATTTTTAATTCTAGAAAATACGTATAATCATCATCATTATTACTATTATTTTTATTATTACTCTTATTATTATTATTATACTAAAAGTTAAATTTCTGGCAAAATAGGAAAACACTGAAATGAGAATACACATTTTAAAAGAATATTCACGACTTCATTTATTAGTTTATCTTCTAAATTTGTAATAAATTTTAAAGTTGACTAAAATTACTTTGAAATCGATTGTGGTCATTTTTTCTCAGTATGCCAAACATTAGAGAGCCACAATTAGGGATGGATCCGGCCCGGGTTAGGTCGAGTGTTATATTTTTTTTTTAATTTTGGTTGTTCTTATTTATTCCTACCACCCCCAAACCATGCAAGTGTGCAACCCCACCTGCCTAGCACCCAATTCATTAAAAAAAAAAAAAAAGGGCCCAGACCGATCCACCAAACAGCCTACCTATAGCCCGCCCCAAGTCCCAACCCTCCCTCCCTAGCCCCCAATTCAACACTTAATAGATTGGAATAATTTTTGAATTTTCTTTGTAAATAAAATATTAAAATCGTTGTTGCTTGATATCAACAAAAGTTGGATCATTAAGACGTCTAGTTCAAGTTCCTTAAAATGTAACAAAACATATTGAATATGCAAGTACAAATATAAACATCTCAACACTCCAAATCCTAGGATCATTATTTACACTAAGTTTCACAATTAGAAATTACAATCATCTTGAATATTATAAAGAAAAAATATATCGAACCAATATGAATTAATTTGGTTTACTTTTATAATTATGAATTTTTTTAATAGATCATAATATGATTTGTAAAATAATGAGATTAATATATTCATTCTAATTTGCTTTAATCAATTAAATTTAAATTGTTGTGTGATTAATATCACCAATTATATTATTATTAGAGTAAAATGCATAAATGGTCCTTAAACTATTATCACCATATCACTTTGGTCCTTCAACTAATAAATCTATCATTTTAGTCCTTATTCTATTTAATACATTTTAATCAAGTCCTATTCTACTTTCCGTTTGTTCTGCCGTTTATATTCAATCTTTATAAATTACATATAATATCCATCTTTAACTTAAAATTACAGTTATGGCTTATTCCTCTAATCTTTAATTTGAACCGATGACAAGCTTATGTGCTTATACCTTAGGTGCTTGGACTTAAAAATACAAGCTTACGTGCTTGTACCTTAGGTGCGCATGTTTCTAGGAGTACGATCCTCATAATACATGGCTAATAGCTTGTACCTTAGGATTTACTGTTTTTTTAATTAAAGATATTGTTTTTTATTGATCGATGAGTTAAGAGAATTCACGTAACTGTCCAAGCATTATTCCCAACTAAAATTAAAGAGGTCGGTTGTGGCCAAATTAACAAATTGGTAAAAAAAGGAGGGCGGTTTATCAATGGCTTGGATTGAATTTTTTTTGTGTTGTGATCTAGTTTAGTCTCAATTGATTTGATAGATGTCTGGTCTTTGTGTATTTTAAAATTGTTAGGTTTTGATCTAGTTTAAATTGGTCAGGTAGATGTCTATTATATAAGTATTTTATAATTACCAAAGTTTGATCTTGTCTAGTTTAATTGAGTTCTAGTTTGGTCTAGTCCAAAACATAAACTATTCTAAGCAAAATCAAAATCATAGAATCAAAATTAAACACAATCAATAATGTTAGCATGTACCTGGAATAAATATTATTATAGATGAAAAAGCACAAGCGGATGAACCAAACACACCCTCTTTGAGGGATAGAAAAAGAGGGTCTATATGAAATTTTTTCTTCTACGCGGTATTAAAATTATGTTTTAATAATTACATAACCAACAAATTTTAGGCCAAATTATCAAATTTATTTAAAAATGGGTGATTTACCAAATTGGTAAAAAAAATCAAGAGACAAATTGGTAAAAAAAACAAAACTCGACAGATAAATTGATCAAATTTTTGTGTGACAAATTTATAGGCCACGATTTTAAAATTCTCTACCTTTAGCCCCATAAATATTGTCAAATTGACATTTCCAATTCTTCTATTGTGATTTCATCATGAAAAGTGAATGCCCAAAAATGTCAACGGTAGGGGTGGGCAAAAATCCCGGTCCCGGTGTCCCAAACCGAAAAATCCCGAAACTATTCTGAAACTATCCCGATCCATTTGGGATGCAATTTTTTCATCCCGAACCGGTCCCATACAGATATTAACCGGGACAGAACCTGGATAGCTATAGAATATCATGTCCCGTCCCGGTGTCCCGTTTGAAAATAGTAGGTTATTTCAAATTTCTAATGATATGTAATAGTCAAACCCAATTAAAACTTTCTACCCCTTAGTCTCCCTAGTGTCATGTTATCTTATTTCATGTCTCAATTCGTCTTGTTTCTTTTGTTTCTTTTGATTAAATTTCTCTAGTTCTCATTCTGATACTACTCCGTAATACATTATTACGTGTGGAATATTATTTATGATGGAATAACTACTAATCCAAAATATAGTGTTGTTATAGATTTAATATTTTCCAAAATAACTAGTAGAAAATATATATGTAGTCCTTATAGATATGATATTTAATGTGATATTGAAAAGTTACAAGTGTACTACAAAGTATAAAATATTTTGTGCTACTATTCTACAAGGAAACATAAGATTAGGGGAACCAAAAAAAGTTATAAGACAATAATTAAATATAGTTAATTAGAGGTTGTACTTAACTTTTTTAGAGAAGCTAAATTTTCAAAAATAGTTACATCTTTATTTTGATGTTATGCATATTTGTATATCACATTTCACAAATGTATATTTTATGGGACGTCCCGAACCGTCCCGATTTTTCTCGGGTTGTCCCGATCTCATTTTAAATGGGACAACATTGGGATAATGACTTATCCCGAAACGTATTGGACCATTATTATAATACCGGGTCGGGATCGTGATAAGTCAAGTCCCGAACCGTCCCGTCCCGCGCCCACCCCTAGTCAACGGTGAAGCTTTCTCCAAATCTTTTAAGGTATTTGGATCATAAGGAGTTTTTGCATCCAAGGCTAAAACTGCAGCCATCCTACTAAAAGGCGTTGTTACACCTCCACTTTCAACTACAATATGATCAAGCATTCCATTGATGCTCATCCAGTCTCGGCGTGATGAAGAACTCAATATTATAAAAAAAAAGATTCATGGGCGGTGCTTGCTAGCAATGAATCCTCCCTTTTTATTAAAAAAAACTCCTGCTGTTGTTTTGAATGTGCTTTCTAGAGGTTTATGTGCATTGTCATTATGATTTAGTAAAGTGATGTGTGCTTGTATTTGGGATGTCATCGGTTCAAATTAAAGATTAAAGGAAATGCCCTAATTGTAATTTTAGGTTAAAGATGGGTATTATATGTAATTGATAAAGATTGAATATAAACGGCAAAACTAACGGAAAGTAGAAAAGGACTTGATTAAAATGCATTAAATAGAATAAGGACTAAAATGATAGATTTATTAGTTGAAGGACCAAAACGATATGGTGATGATTGTTTAAGGACCATTTATGCATTTTACTCTTATTATTACTATAATTATTGTTATTGTTAATGTTAATATTATTATTATAGTTATTATTATTACTACTTATACTTTCAATATTTTATTTTTTAATAACGGTTGCTTAATGGTTCTGTAGACATATTTTTTGTAGGAACTAGGAATCGAATCGTTAACAAAGAATAGAAACCGAATTGTTAACAGTTTATAACTCACGTGTAGGAACCGAATCAAACCGGATTTTAATGGTTCGGTTCCAACGGTTTTCCGATTTTTGGTCCTAAAGTCCCACCCCTAATTTTTACAATGTCAAATCTTATTTTTATATATAGTACTCCGTAGTATTTTTATTGCATCACTTTATAACTTTATTGTGCATTTGTTCACTTTTAAAAGTCAATTTCACATGTGATAATTATCTTATATGTAAATTAGTCATTGATACAAAGCAAATAAAGTGAAGTTTTTTTTTGGAAGATTAAAAAGTGAACTTTTATGTACGCTAAATTTTGTACAATTAGATTGATGTTCAAAGTGCTTTGAGATATTAATATACATCATTGATATGTATACTTATTTTGCAGCAGAATGCATGTTATTGGTAGGCATGGACCAGGGCCCGGTTCCGGCCCGGTTCGGGCCCGATTCGGGAAAGGGGAGGCCCGGAACCGGCCCGGGTAACCCCCGGGTCCGGGCCGGGCCTCGGTTCAATTTTTTTTTTGGCCTTTTCCTAATTAACCCCTAACCACCCCCCTCACCCCCAAACCATCTAAATGACCCAAAATACCCAGCCCAAACCAAAAACTTAAAAAAATTCAAAAAAAAAAGAAAATAAAATAAAATGGCCCGGACCGGCCAGGCCGATTCACGTTTTGAGTGGCCCGAGCCCGGACCGGAACCCCAGCGGGTCAGACCTACCCGAAACGGTCACTGACCGGGCCACCGGGCCGGGCCGGGCTGGGCCGGAACAGTGCCGGTTCCGGGTCGGGCCACCCGGCCCGAGTCCAACCCTAGTTATTGGCATGAAATTTCTTTCATCCAATTCAATTATTTTTTCAATAAAAGAATAATTACGTGATAAATAAATTAGGGAGATGAATTGTAATGAGTCGAGAAGCAAAAATGGAATATGTTATTACTGATGTTTTTCTTGTACAATTCGTAGAGATGATTCTCGTATATATACATCATATACGGTACAAAGAAAAGTTAAAGAAGGAAAGAATATTCACAAAATAAATAAGGGAGTAAATAATAACATATATGGAAAAATTCTAGATAAATCTTCTAAGTCACAATAATGCTCCACGTGAATCAAGCATGCAAATCTTCGAGCTGGTAACGGTCATCTTTGAGTTACTTCGTATATTTTTGTGACAAAAAATATAAGTCACGTAATATTACGAATATTAAAAT